AATAAATGTACAGGTCTACTTCACAATCTCAGGATTTAGAAATATTTTGTAGATCTATATAAATTCTTACAAAGGGGAACCATCTGAGGATTTGATTTTGAGCGGTTACACGTGATGAAAAAGCGTGGATGCCGATGATGAAGAAGTGTGGAAGCTGATGATGAAGAAGCCTGGAAGCCGATGATGAAGAAGCTCGGAAGCCGATGATGAAGAAGTGTGGTAAGTGTGGAAGCCGATGATGAAGAAGTGTGGAGGCTGAGGATGAAGAAGTGTGGTAAGTGTGGAAGCCGATGATGAAGAAGTGTGGAAGCCGATGATGAAGAAGAGTGGAAACCTATGATGAAGAAGCATGGAAACCTATGATGAAGATGTGTGGAAGCCGATGATGAAGAAGTGTGAAAGCTGATGAAGAAGTGTGGAAACCTATGATGAAGAATTTCGGAAGCCGTTGATGAAGAAGAGTGGAAACCTATGATGAAGAAGTGTGGAAGCGGATTATTAAGAGGTGTGGAAGTAGTTGATGAATAAGCGTGGAAGCTGATAGAGAAGTGTGGAAGGCGATGATGAAGAAGTGTGGAAGCTGATGATGAAGAAGGGTGGAAGCCGATAGTGAAGAAGTCTGGAAGCTGATGATGAAGGAGTGTGGAACAAGATGAAGAAGCATAGAAGCTGATGAAGAAGTGTGGAAGCCGATGATGAAGAAGAGTGGAAACCGATGATGAAGAAGCGTGGAAGCTGATAGAGAAGTGTGGAAGCTGATGATGAAGAAGTGTGGAAGCCGATCATGAAGGAGTGTCGAAGCTGATGGTGAAGAAGTGTGGAAGCTGATGATGAAGAAGGGTGGAAGCGGATGAAGAAGGGTGGAAGCCAATGGTGAAGAAGTGTGGAAGCCGTTGATGAATAAGCGTGGAAGCCGATGATGAAGAAGCGTGGAAGCTGAAAGAGAAGTGTGGAAGGCAATGATGAAGAAGTGTGGAAGCTGATGATGAAGAAGGGTGGAAGCCGATGAAGAAGAACAGTGGAAGCCGATGAAGAAGCGTGGAAGCTGATGATGAAGAAGTGTGGAAGCTAATAGAGAAGTGTGGAAGCCGATGATGAAGAAGTGTGGAAGGCGATGATGAAGTGTGGAAGCTGATAGAGAAGTGTGGAAGCTGATGATGAAGAAGTGTGGAAGCCGATCATGAAGGAGTGTGGAAGTTGATGAAGAAGTGTGGAAGTCGATGATGAAGAAGCATGGAAGCTGATGAAGAAGTGTGGAAGCCGATGATGAAGAAGAGTGGAAACCAATGATGAAGAAGCGTGGAAGCTGATAGAGAAGTGTGGAAGGCGATGATGAAGAAGAGTGGAAACCGATGATGAAGAAGCTTTGAAGCTGATAGAGAAGTGTGGAAGCTGATGATGAAGAAGTGTGGAAGCCGATCATGAAGGAGTGTGGAAGCTGATGGTGAAGAAGTGTGGAAGCTGATGATGAAGAAGGGTGGAAGCGGATGAAGAAGGGTGGAAGCCAATGGTGAAGAAGTGTGGAAGCCGTTGATGAATAAGCGTGGAAGCCGATGATGAAGAAGCGTGGAATCTGATGGAGGAGTGTGGAAGCCAATGGTGAAGAAGTGTGGAAGCTGATGATGAAGAAGGGTGGAAGCCGATGAAGAAGTGTGGAAGCTGATGGTGAAGAAGTGTGGAAGCTGATGATGAAGAAGGGTGGAAGCCGATGAAGAAGCGTGGAAGCTGATGGTGAATAAATGTGGAAGCCGATGATGAAGAAGAGTGGAAACCGATGATGAAGAAGCGTGGAAGCTGATAGAGAAGTGTGGAAGGCGATAATGAAGAAGAGTGGAAACCGATGATAAAGAAGCGTGGAAGCTGATAGAGAAGTGTGGAAGCTGATGATGAAGAAGTGTGGAAGCCGATCATGAAGGAGTGTGGAAGCTGATGGTGAAGAAGTGTGGAAGCTGATGATGAAGAAGGGTGGAAGCGGATGAAGAAGGGTGGAAGCCAATGGTGAAGAAGTGTGGAAGCCGTTGATGAATAAGCATGATAGCCGATGATGAAGAAGCGTGGAAGCTGATAGAGAAGTGTGGAAGGCAATGATGAAGAAGGGTGGAAGCCGATGAAGAAGTGTGGAAACCGATGATGAAGAAGCGTGGAAGCTGATAGAGAAGTGTGGAAGGCGATAATGAAGAAGAGTGGAAACCGATGATAAAGAAGCGTGGAAGCTGATAGAGAAGTGTGGAAGCTGATGATGAAGAAGTGTGGAAGCCGATCATGAAGGAGTGTGGAAGCTGATGGTGAAGAAGTGTGGAAGCTGATGATGAAGAAGGGTGGAAGCGGATGAAGAAGGGTGGAAGCCAATGGTGAAGAAGTGTGGAAGCCGTTGATGAATAAGCATGATAGCCGATGATGAAGAAGCGTGGAAGCTGATAGAGAAGTGTGGAAGGCAATGATGAAGAAGGGTGGAAGCCGATGAAGAAGTGTGGAAGCTGATGGTGAAGAAGTGTGGAAGCTGATGATGAAGAAGGGTGGAAGCCGATGAAGAAGCGTGGAAGCTGATGGTGAATAAATGTGGAAGCTGATGATGAAGAAGTTTTGAAGCTGATGATGAGGAAGTGTGGAAGCCGTTGATGAATAAGCGTGGAAGCTGATAGAGAAGTGAGGAAGGCGATGATGAAGAAGTGTGGAAACTGATGATGAAGAAGGGTGGAAGCCGATGAAGAAGTGAGGAAGCTGATAGTGAAGAAGTGTGGAAGCTGATGATGAAGAAGGGTGGAAGCGGATGAAGAAGCGTGGAAGCCGATGGTGAAGAAGTGTGGAAGCCGTTGATGAATAAGCGTGAAAGCCGATGGTGAATAAGCGTGGAAGCTGATAGAGAAGTGTGAAAGGCGATGATGAAGAAGTGTGGAAGCTGATGATGAAGAAGTGTGGAAGCCGATGATGAAGAAGTGAGGAAGCTGATGGTGAAGAAGTGTGGAAGCTGATGATGAAGAAGGGTGGAAGCCGATGAAGAAGTGTGGAAGCTGATGGTGAAGAAGTGTGGAAGCCGATCATGAAGGAGTGTGGAAGTTGATGAAGAAGTGTGGAAGTCGATGATGAAGAAGCATGATGCTGATGAAGAAGTGTTGAAGCAGATGATGAAGAAGTGTGGAAGCTGATGATGAAGAAGCGTGCAAGGCGATGATGAAGAAGCATGGAAGCTGATAGAGACGTGTGGAAGCTGATAATGAAGAAGCGTAGAGACCTGTGAGTTAAACCCCTTAAACTCTTTCCGGACGTGACGTTTACAATTTAATTTCTAAACATGTGGTCAATTTGAAAGATGAAAATGAACGAGAAGAGTTGAAGAGGTTGGCCTGTTTTCAAAACAGAAAAATCATTTTCTGTCAACATTGTCCAGATCAATGAAGGTTAGTTTTAAGTGATTATCCGACAGATGTGGCGTGCTCGTTGAGAAAATATATCAAACAACGATGTATTTTCTCCAGTGTTATGAATTATCTGAATATTGTTGCCTTTATTTTTCTGTGTCGAAGTCATGAATGATCAATAGGCTGTACTCTTAAATGGATATTAATACGTTTACGTAGAAGATGAGTTGCCTTTTATTTCTAACAACCTCGTTTTCCCAGGATGTTATCATTATATACACGATGATCTGTTAGATAGCCGACACACAACCAGAAAGAAAACTGCAACTCATGATGTTTTGCTTTCTCCTCATTTCATCTTCCGGAGGTTATTGGTGTATTCAACAGAATGTATTGTATATAATTGTGACGTGTCGATTCCCAAATTGAAACCATATGTTAATCCAGAAATCTGTACATAAATGAACGAAACCAACAAACAACCACAACTAACAAATGTATTACAAAATTCACTAAGTTTACAAATAAATGCAAATTACAGCACGGCAATTACAATGGCAGTAACCATTAGAGTGGTAGTACAATATACAATGGCAAGAAATAATATGATGGCAGTGGGCAGTATGAAATACAAAATTATAGTGGTGATAGCAAAAGTCAGTGATAATAACATATATATTCACCCAGCGGCGAGTGTGGTCGAGCTTCAGTGATGAGCTAGGCATAGAGTCAGGGATGATTAGCGATCCTCACATGAAAGCTGGTCTTGACGTGATGAAAATGTGTGCGAAGTACGTAAACACGCTCTTGTCCCCTGATATACTCTAACCAGATACGGGGGCACGGGTGGCCCAGTCGTCCAAGGCGCCGCGAGTCGCTGTGCAGAGTGTGTCCCTTGGGCAAGCCAGAAACCTATGATTGTGGGTTCGAATCCCGGTTCGCCCTGATTATGTTTCTAGGTTTGTCAGCACCATACCAGTGCTCTTGGGTTTCACCGAAGTGATAAACGTCAGATGACGTCACAGCGAGGAATATGTTACGTAGGTCCAAGGTGCGGAGATCGTGGCCTTCATTGGCTGTTGCGACGTCACGTCAACCTGGTCATCGTCGTTTTCGTACAGTTCACAACTATTGCGACGTGGGGGTAACTTACCACCAACAGCACCATTCAAGTTGCCCTCTTTCGTTGTTCAGCAGTTTGCCTTGTCATGTTCTCAGGTCTACTACTTTCGATTCCACACTTTATTTTGGCATGACACTTATACCCTTATGTGCACGTGTATCGTGCTTCACGTGCAGAGACATTTTGCTTCATAACGTCATTTTACGCGTGCAGCAGCGACGATGTTTAAATTGTTTAAATCGTAATTGTTTACATCGAACAATATGTGAAATGTATCTAAACTTCAATGACGCGTGCAGCAGCGACGATGTTTAAATTGTTTAAATCGTAATTGTTTACATCGAACAATATGTGAAATGTATCTAAACTTCAATGAACGTAAATTGTGGTTCGGTATACTTTATTTTAATCGTCAGTTTCGATGTAACATATCACAGATCAATATGCCACGTTTCATCAACATGTGCCGGTTCTCATTTTAAAATCAATACCTTCACACCTAGCATCTTGTATATAAGTTTGATTAACGTTCTATTCAGCATTACCCCGTTATCGACTGCAATGGCTCCACACCAAGTCCTCACTCTGATGGTTTTCGGTTTCTGCATGTTTATGCAAGTACAAGGTGACGTTGTTGGGCCACAGATTTGGGTTGTAATCTTTGGTTTTTATCACACTCAATTCAAAATCTCATGTATATCTATGCATTGTCGTTTTGTCTTGCAGGAGACCGATGCCCCCTTGGGTTTGTCAGACATAAAACTTCGTGCTACTGGTTCTCCACAACCAAAGGATCCTTATCGGAAGCTCGGGTAAATCTGATATTGTTTTCGGATCTCAAGTAATTGAACAAGAGGTTTAGTAAAACTAAATAGCAATAGTATAGCAATGACATGTTTTGTTACTTTACATGGCATGTTATAATGTCCATCTGGAGACAAACAGTGTCCCTGTACAACCCTTCATCATGTACTTACATTTGTACAAATATTACCAAAGGGTATACGGAGGTACGGGATATAAGACATTATAGAAGGGGTGTTTCCCATCTTTCCAGAAGTATGTGAAATTTAAAGCCATGCTCTTTCTATTTTTCATTGTGCATATACCTGTCATCGACCATATACAGCAATTCATACGTTTGAGTGTTTATGAATTGGTCGGTTCTATTTTGTGCAGATGTTTATTCATTTTCATCTGGTAATTCCATCTTGCTCACTTAAACCACAGTGATGTTATCTGAACGCGAACTAGAACTGTTACCAGTAAAGACTGTAACAGATGATTGTGGGTTTTAAACTTGGTAGTTGTGACTGTTCCTTTCAGTCCATGTGCCGATATCTGAAGAGTGACCTTGCCAAGGTGACAAGTAAAGATGAGGATGACTTCATCAGGCATTTTGCGCTGGTTCGGGGAAAAGGTGAGTTCAAGGGTTCTTTCCAATGATGATGCTAAATATCAACTATGTGTTTTGTGCTGAATATTAAGTAACTCGGATTTATATGCTATATATTGATTAGATGTTTTACGCTAGGTATTGTTTGTTTGTTGTTGTTTAACGCCGCATTCAGCAATATCCCAGCTTTATATGACGGTGGTCTGTAAATTATCGAGTCTGGACCAGACAACCCTCTCATTGGCATCATGAGCATCGACCTACGCAATTTGGATAGGTGACATGGATTAAACCAAGTTAGCGAGCCTGGCCACCCGATCCCGTTAGTCGCCTCTTACGACAAGCATAGTCCCCTTTTACGGCAAGCATGGGTTGCTGAAGACCTATTCTACCCCGGATCTTCATGGGTCTATTCACTGGGTGTAATATGCTGAATATTAACAAGGTGTTAAATCCTGAATATTAAGTAATTTATAAATACTCAATGTTCATTAGGTTTTTTTCGCTGAATATGAACAAGGTGCTCTATGCTGAACATTTACTAGGTGTTAAATATTGATATTAACAAGGTGTTAAATCCTGATTATTAAGTAACTTATAAATACTCAATATTCATTAGGTTTTATTGACATTAATTTTATCGCTTTTATTTACAACCTGAACACTTGTTGACACGCGTCCTGGTAAATAAGATATATAAAAATGATAGTAGTAGTAGTAGTAGTAGTAGTAGTAGTAGTAGTAGTAGTAGTAGTAGTAGTAGTAGTAGCAGCAGCACTCTGGATTATCTCCCATGATCAACCACTCTTTGAGACGTAAAATTTCTAAATTAAACGAAACGTTTTTCCTATAGGTATAACGCCACACTTGGCAAGTAGATAAGACGCACGTCAGGTCCTACAAGGCTCCAACTGCCCATGTCTTGCTCTTATAAAGGACATAGACAGCCAATCGGATGTAGTTTTCAAGGTAATGAGACTATATGGGTTGTTCACAGATGAGTGATATCAACCTTTAGACTATTTTTCGAGCTTACTTCCGTGGATTGAACGTCTGTCCTGAGAGCGGTGTTACAAGCATCCACACACGTCTCTACGCACGCACGCACGCAGTGTAACACTCTTAGTAGTAGTAGTAGTAGTAGTAGTAGTAGTAGTAGTTTGTTTCGTTTGTTCTTTAACGCCGCACTCAGCAATATTCCAGCTGTGTGGCGGCGGTAGTAGTAGTGATAGCAGTAGTGGTGGTAATGGTAGTAGTAGTAGTATCAGCAGCAGTAGTAGTAGTAGTAGTGATGGTTTTAGTAGTGGTGGTAATGGTAGTAGTAGCAGTAGTAGTATCAGCAATAGTAGTAGTAGTAGTAGTAGCAGTAGTAGTAGCAGTATTATTAGTAGTACCACTACTCTTTATTGTTTTAGTAGTAGTAGTAGTAACAGTAGTAGTAGTAGTAGTAGTAGCAGTAGAAGCAGTAGTAGTAGTAGCAGTAGTAGTAGTAGTAGTGATGGTAGTAGTAGTGGTGGTAATGGTAGCAGTAGCATTAGTAGTAGAAGTATCAGCAGCAGTAGTAGTAGTAGTAGTAGTAGTAGTAACAGCAGTAGCAGTAGTAGAAGTAGCAGCAGTAGTAGTAGCAGCATCAGTAGTAGTAGTAGTAGTGATAGTAGTAGTAATGGTAGTAGTAGTAGTATCAGCAGCAGTAGTAGTAGTAGTAGTAGTGATGGTTGTAGTAGTGGTGGTAATGGTAGTAGTAGCAGTAGTAGTATCAGCAATAGTAGTAGTAGTAGTAGTAGCAGTACTAGCAGCAGTAGTAGTAGTAGCAGCAGCAGCAGCAGTAGTAGTGAGTGAGTGAGTGAAATTTAACGTCACATCGGCAATATTACAGCCATATCGTGACGAAACAGTAATAATAATTATATATTTGATTTTATAAAAAGCTGTCAAGGATGGACAGTAAGATAACTAGAGTATCACAGTTTCGATTTTAAAACTAGTTGAGAATAGTTAAAAGAATACATTTTCTATCAACAATACAATATAAACATAGGCTAGAGATCACCAGCAACCAAAGCTAGGCCACCTCACTAGGGACCGTGGGGACTTACAATACTTCTGCTACCTGCACGGTTCCCCAGCAGGATTTACACCACCCCTTCAGCTGCTGATGATGGTACGCATTGAAGCCATTAGTTAAAATAAACAAATATTCTACGTTAAAAACCGAGGTAAGAATATATGTACTTTGAATGATGTGGCCTTACATATCCTCTCAGGGGGACAATAATTTTACGCTACTTCAACCCCCTTTGAGGATATAGCCACTAACAATCTAAGTTACAAATTATACATTACCAATATAAAATATAGCTATTTACACAATTCAAAATGTTCAATTTCTTAATTAAAATACCTATAATTAAATGAGAACTGATTCTATTAAAAAGATCCGGTATTGATGATGATTTGAAATATTTATCCCTTGTGTTTGTAAAATCAACACAGTCAAGCAGCAATTACTAACAGGCGATAATATACTCACGAATGTCCAGGCTTTCGTCTTGTGGAATGTCTTGAATGTCAGCGTCCTTGCATCCAGAACACGTTGGAATCTGGCCAGCTTTCGGTTTTTACAACCAGGCATCCAATCTGTTAGTGGCAAGTATGTAAGACGCTAGTCAGGTCGAAAAAAGCCTCGATTCGCCCGTGTGTCGCTCTTATATAGGTCCAGCCAGCCTCCTAGACACTGACTCATACCGACACTTTGAAACGATCAAGTCAGTCATGTTTGTAAACAACAAAGGCGGATAACTGTAAATTACTCGTTGTAGCCGACCGCCGCAAATATCTGGCCACGACAGCACCCGATATTTTACTAGCATTTCAATCGCTTTCTGACAGCTGCCACATTACAATACTCCTAATTAATTTGGTTGACCAACTTGATACAACTCTTGGCATGCAGTCTACTTAAAGTGTGTCTTGTGATGTGTGCTGTAAAATGTAGGTCCATAATGGTTTAATTCAAGCAGTAATGAATGTTACGTATAATTTTTGTCATTGAAACATGCATTTCCATATATATGTCAAAATTTATTCTTCCTTTTCTGTCTTAACACCGTCTATGTATACCCTTACTCTCTATAGCAAAATTATACTTCCTGGGTGGCAGTGACCTCCGCCAGAGTGGTAGGTGGTCGTGGAACGGGGAAGAACAGCAGATGACCTACACCAACTGGGCACCAGGACAACCAAACTACCTTGACAAAGAACACTGTATTGTCCTCTGGAAACATGCCAATTACCAGTGGGCCGATTATTATTGCGACTATGTCACGAACTATATTTGTGAATGTCGCGTTTTGAAATAAATCGTCTACTGACATGACAAGTAATTGTTTATTTTTGGAATCCAGGCCCAAAAGTTCATATATAGAGTTGGAATATGCCATTAACAGGCTAATCATAATACTGAAAACATGTATTTCCATCGAGTCACATCTTGCATCGAGGATTCATGTTACAGCGGGTTAACGCATTTGGTGCATTTCCCGCTGTAAACGATCGTAAACGGTGGTCTGATTATTTGATCAAGTTACCCCATAGCGTCTTGTGTTGGAAACATAGTGCTGGTCCACATCACCCAAACGGAGCCTCAGGAAAGGAAAATAGTACACAAGAGGGTGACACATATTTCCCAGCACTTGCTATCTTGCCAGCACAGGTCAAACGATGTGACAAAAAAACAAGAATTGAATACCGTAGCAGGGGATGAAACCCGTCTGTATGGTCCCGTTTCACGATCCTAATGCATTTTAAATCCACATACCTTTGGGTACTTAAGGGGACTGTAATGTAAGGGGTACATGTCCATGATAAACATAAATCGACAGTTTGACAGCGTTTGTGAAGGCCAACAGAATCAGAATCCGGCTCTTTGTGAACACTTGTTGACACCATCGCGGGCTCTTGACGACACACAGAATCTCCCAACATGCTTTCCTGGCTGGCAAAGAGGGAGATATTCTTACGCTTTGGTAGGATTTTACGCCGCCTTTAGCACTATTCACACTTTTTTATCATGTAGAAATCGAACTCGGGGCTTCAGCGTGACGAGCGAATGCTTTAATCACTTGGCTACCCCACCTCCGGGTAGTAGTAGTAGTAGTAGTAGTGGTAGTAGTAGTAGTAGTTCTTACGTTTGTTGTTTGACGCCGATCTCAGCAATATTCCAGCTATATGACGTCGGTCTGTAAATAATGTCAGGTCCAGACAATCCTGCGATTCACATCATGAGCATCGATCTACGCCACTGAGATATGACGACATGCATCAACAAAGTCGGCGAGCCTGACCACCCGTTCGTCGCCTTTTAAGACAATCATGGGTTGCTGAAGACCAATTTAGCACTTTATATTGTTAAATGCACGCAGGCAAGGCAGGTTTATCTCATAGGTTAAAGGGAGACAACTCTATATACAGTTTACGAATGCTTCACCTCCTCTTGATGATTATAGTAGATCTCTTCTTAATGATTGTAATTTTTGTTTGTAACTTAAAATTGTTGTGACTTGATTATATACACATGTACTCTGGGCTGGAGGCCTTTATTACAGAATAAAAGAGTCTTGAAGTCTTGAAGTCTTGAAGACCAATTTTAACCCGCAATCTACTTGAAGTGTGTCTTTTGTTGAATGATGATGTTGAATGATGTTCCATATAACCAAAGTTCTGACCGAGTGCACTATGTATTTTATCTAAAATTCGAGAAAAGCGGGAAAATTTATATGCATTTATAAAACTTTATTTGTGAATGTCCAGTTTTGCAATTAATCAAACCTGACATTACAATAAATTGTTTTTTGGGGGATCAAGGCCCAAAAGCTAATATACAAAGTGGGAATAAGCCAGTTATAACGGGCTAATCACAAAACTGAAAACGTGTATTCCATCGATTAATCTGGCAGTGAGGATTACGGCGGGTTTCGCAGTTGGTGCATTTCCAGCTGTTCACAATCCAACAGCGTTCTCAATGTTTGCCCGATAGCGTGTGGTGTTGCAAACAAAGTCATGGTCCACGTAACCGGAGCCTTACAAAAGGAGGCAAGAGGATGACTTTTACTACCGGCACAGGTCATGCCATGTGACAAAAGCCAAGGCTTGAAAACACCGCAGTTGATGAAACCCCTCGATATGGTCTTGTTCGAGACCCTAACACATTTTATAACAACATATCTTGTACATGTACATGTACTTAAGGGAAATGTGAAGTATGGCGTGTAAAATGTTCATGGTATGCATCAGTTTTCACTTTGATAGCGTTAATGAAGGCCGACAGAAACAGAATCCGGATTTAAAGGAATACTTCAGTACCATACCGCGCCCCACAGTCCCGTTACTGAACTCAAGGAATCCCCCATCGTGCAATCCTGGTGTAGCGGCCATAAAACGTGGGGCGCCAACGTTGGGCGCCAATGTAGTGGCCATAAAATTTCCGAGTTCCGTGATAGGATTCGAACGACGGATCTTCTGATCCGAGGTCGGACGCCTTGTCCACATGACAAAAGAGGTTAACCCCATCAGCAAGTTGACAAGGTAAGGATGTCATCTGTGGGATGACTCCACGCCCTGCTACACTGGCATAAAGAGGAAGGTTTTATGATATATGATTTTGTTTAGTGATTTATGATTTTATATTTTTGTTTGTTGTTTAACGCCGCACTCAGCAATATTCCAGCAACGAGGACTGGCTGAAAAGTTCTAAGCCTAACTTTGAAAGACCCGTACCAAGTCGATGGTTTTCATTTATTTCTCCACATAGTCCCCTTCCAGGTTTACACACTTTTGCCAGCGATGCTCCAAGGCCTGGATGCCGGTCAAGAAGAAATTTTCTTCAGCCACCCTAAAAAAGTAATTCACAGCGGAAGTGACGTCATCGTTACTAGGAAAATCGCGAGCGGCTAAGTTCCTTTTTCATTTTGGGAAACAGGTGGAAGTCTGACGGGGCCAAATCGGGTGAATAAGGGGGATGGTCAATGCGTTCGAAGCAACAATCATGGATCGCTGACATGGCAACCACCGATTTGTGAACAGGAGCATTGTCTTGGTGGAACAGGTCTCCTTTAGTGAGCATTCCCCGTCGCTTAGCTTTGATAGCTTCACGCAACTGTCTCAGTAGGTCAGCATAATATCGTCCATTGATAGTCTGGCCTTTTTCAAGATAGTCAATCAGCAGAATACCCTTGGAATCCCAAAAGATTGAAGCTATCAACTTTCCAGCAGAAGGAACCGACTTGGCTCTTTGGGGGACTGGTGTTTCCGGATGCTTCCATTGTTTTTATACTGAATTTTGGTTTCTGGTTGAAAGTGATAAATCCAGGTCTCCTCAATGGTTACAAATCGGCCCAAAAAATCATCGGGATCTGCTTCAAAACGGCATAAATTGTCACGGGACGTCAGGAATCTGACACGTTTCTGATCCGCTGTCAAGAGCTTTGGCACCCATCTTGCAGAAACTTTTGTCATTCCCAACTCGTTGGTGATAATGTGCTCAACCCTCTCATGAGAGATGCCCACAACACTGGCAATATGTCGAGTGGCCAGTCGTCGATCAGCCATCACCATGTCATGCTCCCGGGTAATGTTTTCCGGAATGGTTGCTGTTGAAGGCCCTCCTGTACGCGGGTCATCGTCAAGGCTCTCTCTGCCACGCTTGAATTCCGCAGCCCACTTCTTTACAGTGGAAAAGGTAGGGGCATCATCCCCTAAAGTGGCATGTATCTGTGTTGGAGTTAGCCCTTTCAGTTGCAGGTACTTGATGACTGACCTATAGCCAGTTTTGTCCATTTCTGGTGATTTCAATGGGTAGGTTCACAAGACGGTCTGGTACAAAGACAATAATAACACTACAGCTGCAGTTCTTATGTCTATGAATAGGTTTTGTTAATTTAGTGCATGGTCAGTGTTGACATCTGACACGACCCACTCACTCACTCACTCACTCACTCACTCACCCACTCACTCACTCACTCACTCACTCACTCACTCACTACGTCATCCATGCTGCTGAACATCCTTATAAGATGAAGCTTTCCAATAAACGAGCCTGAAGAGCGCCATTTTGTTTTATCTCTCGATTGGAGATATTAAGGCCGATCGTAACTTAACACATTTAGATTACTCGATTATTTTTACTCTACAATTATATTGCAAATAGCTTTATAAAATTTAGGTAGATATTACTTATACAAACGTACATGGACGTGAGAAAAGGAAGAGAATCAGCACTGTAAATCGATGACACAGAATGTATCTTTAGCCTTTACTTATATAACACATTTATGGTAACATGTGTTTTATGTCCACACAAAAATCATGACGCTAAACTTCATTAATTAATGTAGTCCTGTCATTTGAATATCATCTACAGAAAGGGCCATCCGTCGGGCTTAGAGATGAATCATTTCACACGTACATTATTCCGACATACATACCACGACTTGGGTTTTCTCTGTCCTGAAGACCATCTCAGACTGGTTAACCTTGAAAGAGAAGTAACTGACTGTTCTGTGCAAAGATCCCAATCTGCCGCCGTGGTTGTAAGTTGCCATCCTTGTACGTATATCTCACACTCTGGCATCTGGTCTATGCATTAGATTGTACGTGAATCTGAAAACTACAAGAACATATTTACACACGCTCAGGATCATTCTTAGATGAGCACGACCAGAGCCACTGAAGTTGGTCTCTGATTTTTTCTTTAACTATGTCCATAGGTCTAGACGGTGTATTTAGTGCGGAGGTGAGGTGTAATGGGTTTTACGGCCCGTCAAGATCATTATGCACTACCTGCAGCAATCTTCAAATATGTTATGTAGACTACAAAATACACTAAGTCTTTAATATTCAAAGTATGTGTGACAATAGAGTTTTGGGAGAAAACCCGAAATTCATCGATGGACAGAGTACTGTTTTGAGGACAAGAGAGGACTTAAAATGTTCTATACCCGACTATGCATCTTTAGTGAAACATAGTGCGGTTTAAGGTCAAAATGTGATGTGCGGTGTAGAACTAAACCTTGCAGTGCTCGCTTAAGTTTTTGTATGGCTTACGAACACGAAGCAGCTATGCTACATACTCTCTATCCTGTAATATATGTGAGTTTAGTACATAATGATGTACATCGCCATACTTTCTTAAAGACTAGTAAGTGAGTGAGTGAGTGAGTAAGTTGGGTTTAACGCCGCTTTTAACAGTATTCCAGTTATATCGCGGGGTGTCAGCTTAATGTGGGAGGAAAGCCCGAAGTGATGCAGGTCTCAGACGTTTACCACCTCGGTGAAACCCACGAGCATGGGTATGGTGCTGACAAACCTAGAAACATA